ACCGGTTGTTAGCCGGGGGAAGCCGAAGAGAACTAGCCACTTGACTTTCTTTGCTCTTTTTCTCATCAGTCAGTTCATTGGAGAAAAAACAGTTTTTTCTTTCTTCCTCCTCCATTATTGTTTTTTTTTTTATAAGTAGTAATAATCGAGATTAAACGGAAATAAAACAGCCATTTATAGAAAGTTCAAAACTCATTTTTAAGCTGACCCAGCCACATTTATTTAAGTGTTTTTTTTTTTCCCCCCTAACATCTCATGAAACCGGTAACCGACGACACCGCAACAGGACGAATTACAATGGAATTTGGTAGCAATGAAAATGTTAAAAATTCAAAGAAAGACGCCATTTAGAAAAAAAAAAAAAGACCGGGGGGGGGGAGGAATGGGTAGTAGTAAAATATTCATTAGTATCCCCCTCTTTTTTTTTTTTTTTTTTTTTTCGTTCTTTGTTTAGACTGATTACAGTAAAAAAAATTCAACATAAAATTGAAATAAAAAAAAAAAAAAAAAAAAAAAAAAAGCAACAACTCTGCTTTGGAATCCAAAATGGCCGAGTTTTAATAAAAAAAAAATCAATTCACGACAAAATAATTAGTTTAATAAATAAAGAAAGAAAATAAGCTAAAATTAACTAGAATTCAGTAGAATTAGGAGAGTAGAATCAGATTGGTAAAATAAAAAATTTAGTACCAACAAGACTCAACCTGTTGTAAATAAATAATGTCAACTCTGACCGGACTTGACCAACAGAGAGAGAGAGAGAAAAAATTGCTAGGAGTTTTACTTATATGCAATAATAAGTCATTATTATGTCCAGCTGTGATTCTCTCATAACAACCAGTTATTTTTCTTCTCTTTAAAGGGGGAAAAAAAAAAAGAAGCCATTGGATTGCCGATTACCACTCAAAAGATAAACAAATACTTCCGATTATCAAAATTTGAGCATAGGATTAATATTTTTAAGGATCAGAAATCTTTCCTAAGTCTCCATTTTACTGCTACCCTAAAAATATTTAGTTATATTTAGTAGTAGCAGTCAACAACAGCAGTTTTGTAGTTGTAGAGACGGGATTAGTTGGGAAATGACCCCCTCCCCATATTTTTTTTTTATAGGTTCCTTTTTAGAAAAACGAGTGAATGAAATCGTAAAATGCACAAATCTTTCCATCAAATCCCGAATACAAATATCAACGCATAACGAACAGGAAAAGGTAAAATACTTACTTGGTGTCTTAAAAACGTTTCTTCTCGTTCGACTTGAAACCTGAATGAATGCGGAGAAATTGAACGGGGGTAAGAAGGTTGGGCGACCACCGTTTGGCTTTTCAGCCAATCACAGGACGACATTGCCAGCAACGAATTGCAAAGCTACATTTTTCTCGACCACGACGACGACTGCTACTATCCTTTCCTCTCTAGTTGACGTGCAACAATTCTCCTCCCCCTCTTGTCAGTTGCACCAGAACCGAAAACTTAAGAACTGGCTCTCTTTCATTAAATCACATTTTCCAAAGAAAAATGTTCATATTTTTTTCTTTTTTAATTGGTTTCAGCTTAACATATTCTTCAGGAAGCAAAAGAAAAAGTCATTCTTTTTCCATTTGTCCATTTAAAAGATAAAAAAAATGGTCTTCCCGATTCCTTGATTTTAAACTAAACCCTGTTTTTAATCGTGGTGATTAAAAACAGGGTTTAGCAAAACAAAAATTATCATTCACCAAGTGATGGCCAAATCATTTCTACTCACACACGCATCGAACCTATTGTCCGATATGTTATTTTCTGTCTGGTCACGAATATTGCCTTCCCACCCTCCCGTCAGTTTTAACTTTCTCAGGTAAAAGTGTAACATTAATGATGCATTGTTTTCTTGATTGGAACACATCCAATTCTTTTAAGACATTCACTGAAATGTTTCTAATTTTTAAACATTCATTTTTTTTTTTTTTTTGTTCATGGGGTGAAAGGACAGGATTTCTATCAAACAAATCAAGAATGAAATCAAAGTAAACTTCAATGGCATATTCTAAGTACCTAAAAAAAAAAAAAAAAAAAAAAAATTTTTTTAAAGCCATCTCAAAACATGAAAATTGCAAAACCAGAATGTTGGTTGTTTTGAAAATCCAAGAACTTTGGCTGATGCTATGAAACAAGACCTTGGAAGTAGGGAGATGGCCCTTTTCTAATCAAGCATTTTTTAATCTCAACCTAGTTAAGGAAGATTCCACTGGAAAATTAAAAACAATTTAAAAAAAAATTTTAATAAAATAAAAGGTTTCAAAGTTTCTATAACTGATCCAAAAACTTTCACAGAAAAATGGCAAAAGACTAAAATTTGTATTGGCTTAGAATTGCAGATTCAATGAAGCATCATGATGTCACCTTGTTCAGACCTGAGCCAAAGAAATTGGAGCATAGCAATGTAAGAGGTTGGCCAAAAGTGTCTAGCCAAATTCTGGACACAGAAACTGATGACAAGAAAAACATTTTGAAAGTCCGACAGTTGGAACCAGAGAAATCAACTGTGACAATGGACTGAAATCTCACATCCTGGCCACATGTTTGAAGAATTTGGAATATTCAGAAAATTCTAATTTATAATGTCCCAATAAAACTTCAAATTTTTGGCTGCTTATGACATCATTCCTGTAAAGAACTTATATTTTTAAGTTTCAGATATTTGCCTTTATTTCATAAAATACTTAGCATACAATTCCAATACAACTGGTTTGGTTTCTTTAAAAGAAAAAAAAAAAAAAAAAAAAAAACCCCAACAGCAGCAGAATCCCATACCATCTTTTCCAAAAATAGGTTTCAGACCAATTTCCTTCCTGCAGTGCACTGGAAATGCATTGTAACAAATCTTAAGTTATTTTCTAAAACCATCTAGGGTAAGATATGTAAGAGAAGAGGAGTTAAAATGTTCAGCACACGCCCAAAGCATAGAATCAATCAGCAAAAGATCATGTAACCTTCATTTATTCAGTAAATAAGACGTGGTAATAAAACTTCAAAGAAATTACAAGGATTTGCAAAATACATAAAACTTCTTTGTTGACTCGAAACCATAAAATGGTCAATATATCAAATACACTCTCCTTCATTTAACAGTGTCTTGAAGAGACAAACTAATTTGCATATTCACATCTCCAGACCATAGATCAACAGGTATAGAGGTGGATCTGGTCACCAATGCTACTTCTGACATGAAACATGTTTTACTTCCCATAATTAAGAGCAGTTGCTTCGAGCGCACTGTGTATTGGTTAACGATAATGCAAACGAGTACATGCAAAAAAAAAAAAAAATAATACCGCCTGGTGACAGATGCCTTTGATAGGCGCCAGAGACACTGAAACTTACCTCCCCTGGTTTGCAGCAGACAAGGGCAGGGTGTCATGCTTTCATATGTAAAAATTCAGATTGAGTTTTTTTTTAGAACTTATTTGCCATCTGGTCTTTTTGCTTTATTATTCAAAAACTTCCAACTTCGAATTGTGGCAATATATTTCAATAAAACATCAGCCGTTAACCCCAGCCTGTCTTTATCTGGAGACTTTATCAAGTCAAATATGAGGGTTTTATCATGCAACAGTTTGACTGAAAAGTCAAAGATTAAAAAAAACTTTCATAAGATCCTCAAAAAAAAAAAAAAAAAAAAAAAAAAAAAAAAAAAAAATTTAAATTTGTCCCATACAAAAAATAACCCAATTATTGTTTAAAGGAAATTCTACATTCAGTGGACTACTTAGAAGCCTCCTCCACCCCCGTAAGTCATCTAGAAGCGAGTTAACCTGTTGAATATTTGAGTATCAATTCAAAGTTCTGAGAAAGTTTGTGTATAAAAAGTTTAGGCAAAATAAAATTCTCCCATTCACGTTGATGTTCGTCAAGACAAAAAGCATTGGTTAAAACATTTTACAGTTTAACTTTCTAGAAAAATGTTGCCAACAATAAGTTCTCTTTAGAACTCAAAGTTTTCTCAACTAAACCTGCTATTGGCAACATTTTTCTAGAGATAACAAAATGTCAAAAGCACTTGTTAACATGAATTTCCTCTGTGAATCAGAAACTTTAGAAAATAAGAGACAAAAGCCAATATGGTAGAATTTATCATGGATTTATTTTAATGTTAAAAGGTGGGAAATGGTCAAGTCTCATAGAATTTCAAATAAGAACTTGGGAAGTAGAAAGAGAGACAAAAAAAAAAAAAAAAAAAAAAAAAAAAAAGGGGGGGGACCCAAGTCACTAGAATAAAAAATTGTAATGATGTCTGTTGTTGGGCCAACAATTTCAAAACGATAACCATTTGAAAGAGAATGAACAGAATGATGCGATGTAATGTAGCTGGCACAGCACATAGTACGGCTAACAAAAAGCCCTCCAGCTACGTGCTTGTACGGATTAAGAGAACAACTTGTGTTTCTGTTGTTGATGAAGTAAAAAGGGGCCAACAGAATTCTTCTGCACTTGTTCATGTCATCTTGGGGCAAATGCAACTTGACTCTTTAATTGTAGCCTCGGTATGAACCACCCCAGCCACTGCCGCCACCACCACCACCACCATAGTTGCCTGAAAAAGATAAAATAAATAATGAGCAAATTCCTTTAATCAAGAAAGAAAAAAAAAAAAAGTTAGAGAAAGGAAGCAGTTTTAATTACTATTTATTCAGATCCAAAAAGAAAATTCTCAATACAAGATTAAATTTTTAAAATCTTTAACATTTCAAATCCAAACTGAACAAGTTGATCCATATTAGGATAAAGAAATTAAAAAGAAAAAGAGCCACTGGCTATTCTAACAATAATGGAAAGTTCTAAGGGCTGGATTTGAAAGCTAACTTGAAGACTAGCCACAGTTTAAAAAAAAATTAAAAAAATAGCAAACAAACCTTATAAACTGAACACATCCTTCAGAGAGACAAAAAAAACAGTCACATTCAGTCGCCTAGTTTCTGTTCAACAAGTCTTTGTATCTGTCATAGGAACAACGAAGCAGATCATGTCCAGTCCCAAAGACATGATGTCTTTGAAAGAATGTCAAAAGGACTTACAAGGAGAGGGGGGGGGTGTAGAGGAGGAGGAGGAAAAGCATTCCACTGCTCATGCTGGCAAAGTAACCCGTGCAAAGGAGCATTGGCAGTTGTTTTGCTAAAAAAAAAAAAAAAAAAAAAAAAAAAAAAAAAAAAATGCTAGCAGACCATCCAAGCAGCAGAAGTCGGCCAAAAGACTTCCATTCTCAACAGACAACAAACAAACTACAAAATGTGTTGGAAAGAAGGAAGAGGAGAAGACAGGGAGGGAAGAGGGTGGAAACTAGTTTTCTGTATGTTAGAACATCTCATAAGTACTATCCTTTGAAAAGATATTTAAACAAATTGGAAACAAGGCCATTAAGGAAACATTACAAAGAAAAATGGAAAAAGAAAAAACAAATAAAGATTTGGGGGGCGGGGGCAAAAGACCCTCCCAGCTCCAAATCAATTTGGAGCATTGATTGTGCAGCTCAATGTTGCTCATAGCTTTCAAGAGGTGATTTGTTGAAACTGGATTCTGTGCTGTAAGAAGAGACTACAGACATTACTGTAGGCACATGTGTGGACAAAACCTGGTTGGGAGGGGAGGTGGGGTATGGAGATCCAGGGACAACAGGAGAATGGATGCTGACAGGTGAGAGGAGGAGGAGGTGGGGGGTGGAGAAGGACTAATGACTGACAAGTCATTGCTGATGCCACAAGCACAAGGTTACATCAATGACTACGGCTGCTACTACTACTATTACTACTACAAGTGTAGGTAAGAGGAACAACAGGCAAGTGAGTGTAGTGGGAGATTAAAAAGAAATAAACAAACGATGCAATCTTGAACAATACTACTACTACTGCTGCTGCACCAAGGTGGCATTTCAAGAGGGGGGAAAAGAACCTGCAAGCAGAAAGGGCATGCCATCCATCAGTGACCAACTTCCATACAGTTCAAGAGGACTTTGACATGGGTACTGGGCAATGGAGAGAAGTAGTAGTAATCGTGGTGGTAATAGTGAAAGCAACAACAACAACAAATGGGATTCACCAAGATCCACAAGTCCATCACTCTTGTGGCTGCCTCTAATGGGTGCTAGTCATAGTCATAGTAGTAGTAGTAGTAGTAGTAATAATAGTAGTTAGACAGTGATGTCGGGTTGTTTCAACATAAGAATCAACACTCCATTCAATTCAAACACGTAAGCGTACCCGATGAATTATAGTCAGAACGGCGTTGCATTTTCTTATTCCCATATCTGCCACTCTGCTGATCAAAGGGTCGTTTTCGAGACGTATAGTTATCACCCGAGTATCTGGAGGCGGAGGGTGAGGACGAGGAGATCTCCGTGGGGTTGTAATCATAGTTACCGTAATTCATGTTGTCGTTGTTGAACCCTCGGCCGCCGCCACCACCACCGCCACCGCCGCCAGACTGATAGCCTCCGCCGTAGTTACCTCCTTGGTCCATGCCTTGACCCCATGACTGGTTGCCAAATTGACCATCACCTTGACCACCCATCTGGTTGGGATTTAGCAACTGCTGACTGAAAAACGAAAAGACAATAATACACAATGCAGCAGAAACATTTCCAACACAAAAGCAAAGTTTAGCTTAATTTACACAAACAGGACACAGGCTACCATTTGATTGGGGTGGGGGATAATAAGAAAAACAGACTTACCCAAGCAAACTGGTCAGGCCCTTGAGTAATTCACTCGTCTGAGAAAGAGCAGCTGTAACGTTCTGGCCACCTTGATTCCTTTAAAAGACCAACATATTCTACATTACTCTTTGGACTTGGGCATTATGTCAAAGCACTTTTTTTCTTTTTGGTTTACTGGTTTGATAAAAAAAAAACAAAAAAAACTATAAACTTACCACTGGCCACTACCACCACCACCAACTCCATCCATTAACTGGCGCCGTCCACCACCATCCATTCGACCCTTCTGCATAAACTGTGCAGGCTAAAAGAAGAAGTAATGAAGCTGAAATGCTATTTTTTTATGAATAACCATAACATCTAAATTCAAAAATGGACTCCCAGAGATTTAGAAAATGTTAAAAGAATGTAATTACCTTCCGTCCTTGTTGGCGCCTGTCAGGAGACCATCGCTGTTTACGCTGCTGCATTTGTTGCATCTGTTGTGGCCGTTTACCTGTTGAAAGAGAACATAGTTGCAGCTGAAACAGACATTGATGTAATTTTCAAATGGTTTACACTATATATAAAATGCTCTCAATGCAATGAAAACAAATACAAAGTTTAGCAAAGAATTAATAATCGTGTGATGAAGCACAAGTGGTGGTGAGGAGTCTACAAGCTAGATATTTTCAAAGCAAAAATTCCTAAAGAAAAATTAATGAACAAGTGTCACACACTTCATCCAAGCAGCGGCATACGAACCTCATTCTGGAGAATGAAATATTCGTAAATTGCAAACGAAGAAACTGGGAGCAGCAGTGAACTCATAATATATATATATATATATATATATATATATATATATATATATATATATATGTGTGTGTGTGTGTGTGTGAAGTGAGAAATAAGAAAAATACGATAGACATATCAATTCTGACTAAACTAACCTCTCATATCAGAATTCAGACCTCTGCCACGCTGATCTTGTTTACCCTTCTTGTTGACTTGCTGGTTGCGTCGATTCTGCTGATTAGAAAAGCGACCTTTTTTATTTTGTTGATTGTTTTGGTGCTTCTTTGATTTCTTGTCATCTGAAATACAAATTCAAAACAATTTAGCACAAACAAAAATATTTTCAAACTTCAAGAATTACAAAAACTTTATGGGAAATTAACAGACACAAAATGCAACAATTAAAATCGGTATTTTTCTTTTGACTTTCCTCTTTGAATTTTTAGGGTGAAAACCAATTGCAACTTACCATCATCTTTGGAAGTGTGAGAAATCAGATCAATTGATAAGACATTGTCCTTGAGCTTAAGATCCTTGCTTTCTGAAATAATATTTTCAGCTTCCGGTAAAGAATGGCATTCCACAATTGCATACCTAAACAGAGCAAAAAACACAACATTGTCAGTCAATTGGAAACGGACAATTTTCCATCAAAGACAAAGCGGACTCTCTTTTTATCTTGTTTCTAGTCACTAATCTACTCAACTTCCATCAACTATATCCAAGGAATTTACAATTTGAACTAGTTTTCAACTACTCAAAAAGAAAAGCTCTGTGTAGCAGGCAGACTAGAAGTGAATTGTTTTTTTTACATGGAAGTCCACAGCATATAAGAGTCCAACACAACAAAATACAGATTCAAAAAAAAAAAAAAAAAAAAATTTTCATGCCCAAAGTTATTTTATTACAGTTAAATAGACAAACTCAACCATTCGATATATTTTATATCAATAGATGATAGAATGAGCAACTTGGATTCGAAGAATGCATTTAATCAGCACAACTGCAAAAAGAGCAAATCATTTTGATGCCATAATTCAAGTAGCAAAAATTAAATCTTGCCAAAAGGCAGAGTACACTCGTTGCCCATTATAACATCTATTGGCAAAGAATAAAAAGAAGGTCTACTTTAAAATCGGTTTGCATTAAAAAGTAGTTAAAAACATTTGGTGCAATTATTATTTCCTCCATTGAAAGAGAAACTACAAGAGTTGATTTTATAAGTGCAACAAATACTAATTGATACTTTACATAGAACTTGACTAAGTTGCTAGTCATTAGTCTATAATGTAGTCAGAATAATCAAAGTAGGTAGTACAAATAATAATAGTAATAATAAAAGAGTAGTAGTAGTAGTAATAATAATAATAATAGACAGAGTGAGTGTTGCCAGCTGCCCTGCTGCTGCATCCAGTGTAGAGGAGGAGGAGCAACAACTGGCTGGCCAGCCAAAAGGTGCTAAGAAAGAGTAGCTAACATCAATTTGTCTACAGTTAAGCACAAGATAGGCAGCCGAAAAACCGACTAGCTGCTGCAAGTCGCAAGGACTGTGCAACAGAGAGACGATGACAACATTCATGGAAATCAACGTTGGTGCAGGGTTGAAGCTGCACCAACAAACAAAAGGAAATGCGCAAGGTTGACAAATTACCCCTGATTCTGATCTTCCTCATTAAGTGGGATCACCACATTCCGGGCTTGCGGGAATAACGCCTGAACCTCCTTGACTGTGACTCCTTGTGGAATGTTGTTCACATAGAGGGAATAGTCTTTCTTGTTCCCTGAAATTGTCAGGTGCCCAACCAATGGGAGGTGGTTGTTGTTAAGAGGAGGAGAATGATGATGATGATGATGCAAACACACAGGCGGACAAGCACACGGCTACATCACACCTGCTACAACTAACAAGGTCATTTACTAACAAGACTGTACAAAAGACAGTGAAGGCAAGTGCCACAAAAGGATTATATATATATATATTATCATCATGGTCAGTATTATTATAATAATCATCACTACAAGGTACCGCCCACAGACGGCACGCTCAAACAGACACCAACAATGGCGGCGACAGCAGCGGCATCAAATGCCAAAAACTGGAATTGGTTGGCAAAGACATGAAAACCTTCTCTTGCTAATGACCACACGCACTTTACTCGGCCACTCCTATACCCATTGTCCCAACAAATACTTGCTGGCCCTGCCAGATGCATTTGCAAGGACAAACTTATCACCTGCCCACTTCTCCAAGAAAATACACTTTGTCTTTGTGAGAAAGTATTTGCAAAATTAAAAGGAAAAAAAAAAAAAAAAACTAAGATAAATAATCTTGCACACTTTCCACACGCAGACAAAGTCAACTTAATTGCAATCTCAGTGAAGAAATTTTTATAACAAAAAAAAAAAAAAAAAAATTTTTCCAATTTGAGTTCCTGATTTTTTTTTGAGGGGGATAAAAAGGGAGTAATGAAATAAATGACAAATTTATGTGGAAAGCAAGAGAAGGTGTCATTAGCCAAATGTAATATGACATTACTTTTCCATTCCAATCTTTGACCGTGCAAATACAAAGAATGCCTCAAGTCAAACTCCCTCGGAATATTTGAGGATAACACTAAAGAATAGTTCACTATTATTTTATAGCACCTGTATTTTCCCCTTCTATCAGCAAGATGAACTTGTGAAGAAGGAAAAAAATTCAGGGAACCAGTGTATCCACACAACTACCAGAAGCAGGTAAGACAGACTTCTTCATTTCTGTTAAGAAACACTAATCGCCCAATAAGAGGACAAGCAATTGCGGACAGTGTCCACAAGTTAATCTTTTTCAATAACATTATTAACTATGTCCCAGTAGACTTGACAATCTAACATTTCTTTTACACCAGTCGCAAAAATAACATCTAATTGTAAAGAAATTAGAATTTGGATCAATGTGTTCGAAAAACTTGGAAGATCAACATTTTGACTGGAAAATGTTCATTCTTAAATGCTAAAACATCAGGATATGTTTGACTTGACACTGATGTCTTTCAATTAACTACGTCAAGTGAAAAACTTACTAGCTTACTTCCTCAAATAAGTTACAATAACAAATTTATGCATTCAAAATCTACAGGAGTTTGAAGGTCAGAAAAATTTCAAAGGGAAAAAATAAGCTTTCAACATCACAATGTGTAAAACTCTTGCCAGAAATAGCCAGACTTTCAGATATTTGCATTGAAGCTCAAAAAGGAAGCCGTGTTTAGAAAAATATCAAAAAAAATATTCCCATTTCATGGAATTAAGAAATCGGTCCGTTTAAGGATTGTTGAACAAGATCTGAATGGAGAAAAGCCGGAATATTTCAAGCAATGAGTTTTACATAAAATCAAAAACATTTATAGATAAAGAAAAAAAAAAGTCATAACAAATAAAAAACAAAATTGTGACCAATTGCATTAATGCTCTGCAAATATTTTGAAAAGCAACAATAATATTCATTATACCCTTATCTAACAAATTCCACTATAGGTAGAGGGTGTGGGGAAACCAGTTGTGTTTTTTTAGTTATTATAGATGGCAGTCATAATAGCCTTTGGAAGCAGCTTGGCACAATGAAACTGGAACATCGGATCCTGCCAGGGTTTCTTTGATCCACCAGGCTGAACAGTGGCTACAGCAGAGAGGGAGAGAAAAGCCCTACCATAGACAACACCCAGCATCATTACAAGGTGTTACCTCAATGAGACTCTTGACTCCTATAAGAGCATTAACACAAGCCAATTTGGAAAGGATTGGACAAAGCCCCAAAGCCATGAAAGAAGTAATGACAGAGCTTCAATAATTTCTGGCAGAGTGTGAGAGAGAGAGAGAGAGAATCCTGCTGTGGTTGCTGCTGCTGCTGTTGCCAATGTGGACAATTCCAAGACAAATGGCAGATGCAGGTGCTGCTCAAAACCTGCAATTCAAGTGCATCATCAAGAGTAAACATGAGTATGAAAAAGAAAAACAGAAAAAAAAAAAAAGGTGTGGGGAGGGGGAAACATTTATATCAGGAAAAGGAGACAATTTACATGATGAGAACGAGGGGAAGCAAAACATGCTCTTTGAAAGATAATGCTTTCATGTGAAAAAGCAAAAAAAAATCTGCCGCCAACATGTTGCATTACCTCTAAAGAGAGCATAACAAATTATCTACCAAACAAGGAAAAAAAAAAAAAAAAAAAAAAAAAAAAAGAAATGACTGCAAGACAAAAATCCTCATTGCCAAATCTGTGGGCTCATGAAGAATTCACTGCTGCTTTCAAAGAAAGGAAAAAAAAGAAAAAAAAAAAAAAGAAAAAAAAAAGGCAGCCAGTTCTTTAAACCAACAATAATGTTCACAATATGGTATTAGCCAGCCATTGTGAAAGGGATAAGGCATACCTTTGTCATCCTTATTGTCATTATTACCTGAAAGAATCAAGAAAGAGGACATTATTTTTTTTTTTTAATCTTTTCGGTTAACTTGCACACAAGATTTACTCATATAACCAATGAGAATTTTTTTTCTTTTTAAACCCAGCCCGTTTTTTTCTAATTGCGGACATTGTTAGGGCCCAACTGCAAGATTTAACTACTCCTTTCAGATTCCCCACCCAAAAGCAAAAGCTTTATTAAAAAAAGCCAGCTTTTTTTCCTTTTAAATTAAAGATACCCACATCTCAACTAGTTAGAGAAAAAGTAAAATAAATATTAAAAAGACAATTTATAATGTGGAGAGAGGGGTATCAATATTAAAATCAAGTGGGCGCACATCTAACCTAACCCTGCAAGCTATTCTGCTTACCTTCCGTTGGGGGTTCATATACAAATGTTTTGCCATTAATTTCCATCGGCTGTAATTTGTTGAAGACAACTTCAGCAGCTTCTTCTGATGGGAACTTCATTCTCATAAACCTTGACATAAGGAAAAAAAAAAAAAAAAAAAAAAAATATTCAAATGATTCATTGCTAACATTTGTAAGAATTAGAAATACTTTATCAGTTTATAAAGAAATTACACCTACCCTTTACCTACACCAGTCTTTTCTTTAATGTACCTGATATTCAAACAGGTATCATCCCAATAATCGGACAACTCCGATACAGCTACTTTGATGTCTGCCAATTTCAATTTGTGGATGGTCAAGAGATTTGGATATGGCCTTCCTGCAAAGGGGAAAAAAAAGAAAAAAAAAATGATTACCACGAAAATCAATACTGAAAGGAAAAAATATTTAGATCAAAATGGTTTAACAATTCTTAAAAATTAACTTACGCAAGTTCAATGTATTGTCATCTTCTTCTTCTTTCTTATCTTCCTCTTTCTTTTCTCCATCTTTTTTATCTTCCTCTTTCTTTTCTAAAAAAAAAAGAAAGAAGAAAAAGGCCTATAGATATTGAATACCATGTATTTAAGTTGAAAATGAAGCAGCCACCAGAAGAGAACTTACCAGCTTCTGTAGTGGAATCTTCCATTGGGGTTTCTCCATCCACATTACCATCTTCTTCAACAGGAGCAGCAGAGGAAGTTTCCATTTCACTTTGATCTACATCTTCCACACCATCAACAGGAGTTTCAGTTTGTTTCTCATCAGACATCTTGATGCTACAAAACATTGCAAGAGGTTCAGATTAAATAGAATAAAGCCAACAAAATTTGAATTCTTCAAGAAAAGGCAATCCATGAAGTTTCTATTTTTGTTTTGCATACCTTCACTCAACGGAGTAGGATTCATTCAATTCAAATATTAACAGGAAAGGAGGAATAAACTTTACTCATGTTCAAGACTGGATAGGAGTGTGAACAGGGCCATAGAAAAACCTAAAATAACATTTTCTAATTCTTTGGTCTTATTAATCTGAACTTTAAATCCTTCACAAGTTAGAGACTTTCAATCTGAAGGAACATTTGTATTCATATTCAATTATAATGTTCATACGATTTTGTTTTCATCTTTGGATAAGTAATCTCCGCATCAGGCTTTGATTCAGCTGCCAAGAACTCGTGGGGGCAAAAAGTTTTTTTTTTCGAAAAGTAACAGACAGGGAGTGTATGCGGGGGAGTGGAAATAACGACAGCTGCTGAAACCCAAGACGAGTAAAGAGCCGTCGAGAGGCATTTTTTTTTTTTTTTTTATCTTAGACTATTTGAATGATGACACTAAAAAGAAAAATCAATCCTGACTGCTTAGTCGTCTCGTGGGGGTCTTTTCTTTATTTAACACCCCTTCAGATCGATATTTGAAATCTAGCCAGAACAGCGAACAACATATGTTTGCATAAATTACAAATACGTTACTTGAAAGTAATATTAAAATGCGGAGATGCTTTTGTCTTTGTTATCAGTGAATCTATAAAAAGCTTTACACAAAAAGAGAGGAAGAAACTCATTTCCATTCCAATAAGGAAAGGGAAAATATTAACTGCTTTAATGACTAAAATGTAAGAAATTTAAATTGATCGATCCTCACACGAAATAATAAAACAAAAAGTTGCCATTCAAATAGCTTTTTTTCTTTTTAAATTTCACCAGCAACAAAAACGAAAATGCAAAAGTAAAATAAAACCATACGATTTAAGTTTATGAACTCATTTAGACAAGAGGAGAATATAAAACTAAAAGGGATTCATCATCATCTTCGGTAATATTTCAAAACTTATTCTTGCAAAATAAAAGATGTCGCATCAAGAGATTTTTTTACGAAATTATAAATTTATTCAATTTAAAAAAAAAAAAAAAGTACCTACACAAAATTACTATTCACGTTTAATGAATGTGAATCAATTTCAGAATTAAAATGAAAAAAAAAAAAAAACATTGAAAAAGAAAGATTTGTAGAAAACTTTGAAAGAAAAGAAAAAAAAAACTTCACATGGCTTGGATTTTTTTTCCAGTTTTCAGTAAAAGAAAAAAAAAAAAAAAAAAAAAAGCTAAAATGGTGGATTTTTCGTCCTAATTAAGTGGAAGACTTTAAAGACAAAAGTAGATTCCCAAGAAACAAAAAAAAAAAAAAAAACGTGGAAGAGGCATTTGATATTTATTCAAAAGAAACGATTGACATTTTTTATTTAAGGGGAAAAAAAAAAAAAAAAAAAAGTTTTTGTACCCAGCAAATAAAAAGGCAAATTCTGCCGAAATTTATCAGCAAATTCTTTTTCACTGCCATTTTTTTTTTTTTTTTTTGCTCAACGTGCAATGTTCAAAATGATTTTTTTTTTCAGATCTCACGAAAATGAAATCAGAATTAAAATCGATTTACTTAATCCGTTTAACATTCACAAAAAGAGATTTCGTCGTTAAAAGATCAATGCAAAACCCAAATAGCCGGTCTTTTAAGAAATGGGAAAGACAATGACATGCTAGTTTCGACTCGTTATGAAAAAAAAATTCAACAGCAAGCGAAATCGTGCGTGGAGATATTTTACAAATATTACTAAGTCTTTTTTATTATTTTTCACTAGAACTTAAAATCCAATGCAATTCTAAAATAATAAAGTATATATTAAAACGAAGAAAAGAAATAAAATGAAAAGCAACACGCCCAAATCCAAGATGGCTGTGGAAGAGAGAGTGAGAACTCGGTGTAGGGTAAAATAAAAATTGATTTAAAGAAAAAATACATCGAAGATTTCCACAAAGAGAAATCGGATTTGCATAAATTCCACAAAGAAATGAATCGTAAATTTTTTTTTTTTTTTTTACTTACCACGAATTGTCTCTTAGCCGCCGGCTGAGAAAAAAAAACCCAATCAAGTCAAATCGACAATGACTGCCTTAGTGAAAAGAAGAGCTATTGGGAAAGGACACAAGTTAAATTGGGCTTTGCGCACGCTCAGATTCTCAACCAATCACAGGCCTCTTTCTGCTACCACCACATCCAATCTCTACTCCTACTTTTACTTCTTATCGCAGGGCTCAAAATCAAACTGTCAGCTTCTCGAAGTAAGGGACTTTAAATATAAAGCGATGATTTTTTTTTATATGACAACAAATCGTTGTACTTTACTTTTATATCTTAGATTATCTTATATTTTATCTTAGCAACACGAATGATTCATAAATGAACAAAAACTTACGTGCCTACAGGGACCAACAAACTAGGGAAGCAAAAATGTACACATTCATACATACTCATCATCAATTGTGTGCAGTACACTTACACACATACCTTGTTGTTTTTTCAAGAATAATTTATAATATTAATAATAAAAACGAAATCTAAACTTATATAAAAATAAAGGGTAAATAAAAAATAATATAGGCTCGGTTTGTTTATATTACATCTTTTGAGGGGGAGTGTTTTAAAAAAAATATATTTATTAAAAGAAGAAAGTTACTAATTATTCGTTAAATAAATAAAAAAAACCTGCTATAATGAAGCCAAATGGTTAGTAAAAGACGACTTGAATAAAATTTGATGTGTAAAAAAAAAACTTTGTATATGTGATGTAAAAAAAACACCAAAATTATGGCTGACTGTTTATAAAAAAAGATACATGTATAAAATTTGTTTTTCAAAAAATTTGTTAAAAAAAAAAAGATGCTCAAGTTTGATGCTCTCAAAACTAGCTTGAATAAAGTTTGCAAACAGGCATGCTTTAAGGAGATACATTTTGTGATTTTTTTAGCCAATGGGAACTATAAGTATCAAATTTCTGATTCAACTAGGATCTGATTTGTGGATATTTAAGAAGTCTGGCTTGTCAGACAACAAGAAGGAATTCAGCATTTACAAGGAAGATGTCACCTGCTTCTGCGAGATGAACTTAGATGAAGAAGAAAAAGAAAGCAAAAGGGGTTTGGCTTTCACTGACTGTGGGCTGTTTCTAGGAACTGAACAAAGAAAAACTAAAAGCTTCTGCCAAGAATGAAAAGGAGCTAAAAGAAAAGGAAGAAACAGAGAAGAAAAAAAAGGAAAGGAAGAAACAGAAAAGAAAGAAGAAAATTCTACAAATTTAAAGATATATGATTATCTTTCTGTAGTTAATTGTGAAAATTTGATTCAAAATTAATGTTATTAACTGATTTTGAATTTTTATGAAAATATGAGATTTATCTCATTTTTGAATCTCAGTTTATAAAACTGAATTATTAAGTAAAAGAAAACCAGCAGTGAACATTGTTGATAATAATTATAATTGTTTTTTTTGAGTCCAACAGAATTATAATTAGAAATTGTTATCTTGCCTAAGTGTAAGGCACGCAGGAAAATTATGTGCAAGCCTGTTATGTAAATTTTGCATTCTGTGCTATTATTATTTTTCATTCCATTTAATGAATGTAAATTTCTTTCAAATTTCACACTGGAGAATGATTCTTGTGTTTTTTCATTTGAGCCATTCATAATACTTGAGATAAGACATTTAACATTCTCTCTCCTCCTCCTCCCCACCCCCAACTTTAAATAAGTTCCAAATTATCTATAATTACAGAGGTTTAAAGCAATTTCAAATATTATAAAATAGTGTTTGATTACAAAAAAAATCATGAATAAAGCAAGCAAACCTTTTAAGTATTATAAAAAAAAGGTTTTGTTTTTACAGAATTTCAAAGACCCAGATTTTGAAGATCTAATTTCATTCAACAGAAATAAAATCAAATCTAATTGTCACATTTATTTTTGAACAGACCTAAAACAATGAAAAAGAAAATGTATTTAAAATTCAGTTATTATATCATCTACAGATTGTGATATGAAAAACCTGTTCTATAATAATGATTAAAGTTTATATTAAAAAATAATAATAAATAATTTCTTTATTCCAAACAACATTTTGTGTGTGTGTGTGCATGTATGCTTAGCCTCCCAGAATTATCTCTCACAGAATGGTAAGGCATTAGGGGCAATCATGTCTTCATCTATCTAATGCAGGGTTTCCAAACCTGGGCAATATCAGCCAACGGTGGACGATTTCAACTGTTGGGTGGGCAATAAGCAAATGAACAGAAAATGGTGGGCAATTGGGAATTTTGATGGGTGATATACAATTTTGAGTATTAAAAATGCTACCCCTGTCTATATTTCTGAGATGAGGTATTATGTACACTATTTACATTATTCGGACTATTATCCTCATCTTTGTCACCATATTTATTACATTTCGGCTCCGGCCTTCCAACCACCTGAAGAAGGCCAGAGCGTACAATGGCCGAAACATAATAAATATAGCAACAAAGATGAGGACAATAGTCTGAATAATGTAAATGCTACCTCATCAAAAAATATTCAAAGTCGATATTACAAAAAAAAACAGGAGGCTAATAGGAATAACTGGGTCACATTTCTAAATAAGATATTAATATCCCTGTAAACAATGAATATTTTGGTATTTTCTATAGTTTCGAGAAGGGGCATTAACATTCAAATAGTTCTTCAGATGAAATAACATTTTCTTCAGATAAAAATCAGATAAGGCAAGACCAAGATTAACAAAAAATATTCAGTGAATTTTTATTAGTTGCTCGTAGAGTATATTCTTTTTAATTTTATAATTATGAACAAAAATTGTTTAATTTTTTGTCAACGCTTATGTTAACTTTACCCACAAAACTAACTTTGACCATAAAACTAAATTATATTTTTCAATGGTCACGTTTGTTCTTTAATATAGTACCAGCATCATCAGTCACTACATAAGTTATTTGTTACCCCCCAACCCCACTTTGATATTTTTGACTATATCATAAAGCCAGTTTATGAACCAGTAACAAACTTTTACCAAACAATTTTTGTATGCTTTTGAATATTTACTATTTAGGTGAGCATTGGAAAATTTTTCCATGTGAAAATGGGCAATGAAACAAAAAATGGTTGGAAACCCCCAATTTAATATCTTAGCATTATGTGGGAGATATTTAATCCATTTCACTACATTTGATTTCATCTCTTTTAATCCATTTCTCTATCCAACCTTTGTATTTATGCCAGTTGCAATTAAAAGACTGATAATTTGAAAAAAGATACATTGATTGGGCTTTCTTCTCCAAAATAATGGTACACAATCAAACCTCAAGGGAATTGACTTCCAGTCAAATGTCTAAGCTCTGAAACTTCCATGAATACAGATTTTAAAAATGCTAAAAAAATTTGCACTTCCTTTCCAATTGATTTTTTTTAAATATTTTTTTCAAATATGATTAACTGGGGCAAAAGATGGCTTGTTAATTTTAACACCTCCAAAATTAAACTGCTCTTTATTAATCATCTGAGAGACTGTTCCTTGCCTTCTATCAACATGGCTGATGCTATCCTCCATGAAAGTGACTTGTTGTGCCTTCTTGGGCTAATGTTCTCAGTTGACATGAAATGGAAAGATTATACCATTCATCCAGGCTTAGAATATTGCTGCCACACATGGTCAGGTGCCCCTGCTATTTACCTGGAGCTCCTTGATAAAATCCAAAGAAGAATCAGCAATATTATTGGTCCTGATCCAGTATCTCAGTTTTGGTCATTTTCCTACCACCATAAGGTTGCCTCCCTGTGCCTTTTCTATAAATACTTTCATGGTAATTGTTTGGATGTGCTTTGTGCTATGGTACCTAAACTTTTATGAATTTAAGTCCAGTACTAGACTGGTATTGAGATCTTATCAATTTACAATTGAACTGGCAAGATGTAGCCATAAATTCTATGCTAACAGTTTCTTTTCTCCCTTGTGAAACTCCCTTCTAGCTCCATGCTTTCTAGCCAACTTTAATCTGCAAAATTTAAATGCAATGTCAATCACTATCTACTGTCCTCCTGATTATTATTTCCTTTTCTTGCTCATTATTAATGTTTCTGTTCCTAATTCTTCCACACCCTGTAACCACTTGTGTCTTTTTTATTTTACTGCCTTACATCAGGTGATACTGATTAAAAAAAAAAACATTATTTGGATGTTCATTCATATGTAACATGATCATGTACAAATATTAATCACTACTAGATTCAAAAATTGGCAAAAAATAATTCCTGTTCTTTTTTTATTTACAACAAATTCAATAATAAGTGCATACAAAGTCTACCAAAAAGAACACCAAAGTCTCAGAATTCAAAATCAAGTCCTCAACATCTTTTCTTTCCTTCTTAATCATGGTATTCTACCTTTAAATGAGGGTAGCATCTATACCAAAACCATATCAAAGTTTCTTGGCTACTTTCCTAGCCATCTATGGGTTGCCACTTTCACCTCATCATCATCTGCTGTTCTCCAAGTATATATTGTGCTTAGGAAGATATTATCCATGTTATGGCAGCAATCAAATTGGCAGCTGATCTCAAAAATGACCTACAATCTGTTGCTAAATAGGGCAAGTAGTGGCAAGTTAATTTTAATGCCTCAAGATCAAAACAGCTCTCTTTTAATTATCTGAGAGAACATTTTTTACCTTTCATCAGAAGTGACTCCTTCTTGGATCAAAATATTTTCAATGACATGAAGTGAGAAAATGATATTGAATCAATTGCTAAGTTTGAAGCTAAAAAAAGTTGGTTCACTGTCATAGCAGATAAATTTTCTCACCAGAATCTATCTTACATATTTATAAATCTACCATTCATCCATGCATTGAATATTGCTACCACATCTGGTCTGGTGCTCCTGCTATACATTTTGAGATTCTTGATAAAATACAATGAAGAGTCTACAATGTTATTGGTTTCAGCTTCAGTCAGTTTCCCACCATTGTAACGTAGCTTCTCTGTGCCTTTTCTATAAATACTTTCATGGTAGTTATTCTGATGAACTTTCTTCTTTGATATGTAGACTTTATGAATTTAAACACAATACTAGATTGGTGGCAAGATCTCATCATTTTATAGTTGAAATGGCAAGAGATGGAACTGTAAGTTCTATGCTAACAGTTTCTTCTATTGCACTACTCGCTTGTGAATCTCTCTCCCTGCTTCTTGCTTTCCACTCAACTCTGACCTTCAACAATTTAAATGCAATGTTTATTGTTATCTTGTGTCTTCTTAATTCTTGTTCTTTTATTGCCCTCTCTCCTTTGTAAGTCTTCTCATATTCTCTCACACTCAGTAACCTCTTGCATCCCAGTGACTTCATTGCCTTGCTTGGGATGAAATGATTAAAAAAATATATCACCTTATGCTTATTCATAGAACCAGTCAGCATTCTGGGAGCCCCACTTTGCATAGACATTTGACTTAGCCAAGAGGAAGTAACATGGCTCATCTGAATGTTTTCATAGAGTTTTACACTGTAATGAAATCATCAGAGCCACTTTGGCCTTAACCATAGTTTCTCCTGTCACTCAAGGATTATCACTGACCTATCTCCTTACTAAGCTTATACCCCAGTGATGACTCTAGGGTTACTGACACCCCAGACAAGCTGAAATTTGGCACCTTTAAAAGTACAATTTTTAAAAATTTTCGCAAGACAAAGTGAAAATGTAGAATAATGAGTTTATTACAATATACAATTTAGTACAAGCTAAAGAAAAACATTCATTATCCCACCTAAGACATTTCTTTTCTAGCCTTTAGACCTTCAAATCTTTTCATGACACTTTCTGTATCTATCTTCTTTACAAGATCATTTTCTATTAGCAAAATAGCCAAAAGAATTTCATTTGTTTTGAGTCATGAACAACCGCGCGGATGTTTTTTATAAGCTTTACTTTTGGAAGATCCCAAACATGATATGGTGGCATTATGACACTCTTGACCTTGATGGGGCCCTGGGCGATTGCCCAAGTTGCCAGTACTTTGAGCCGGCCCTGCTTACAACAAGTGCAATCTAGTCATAAACATTCACTGCTGGTTTTTTCAAAAAATAGAAAGAAAAATTAAAGGAAAATCAGTACCATGTTACTATTAATTTTAATTTAATTAATTATTCAATTTTCAAATTAATCACAGCATTTCTGAGTAGCAACATGGTCACAATTTTTCATTAATTTTTTCAGTTGTTCTGAATATGCTCCTAGTTGAAATGGAAAGAAATGAACAGATAGAGATAGATATAACCAGAGAAATATAAGTAGATCTTTGTATATTTTTAGACATTTGTGAAAGTGAATTGGGATAAAATTTCATCAGCCATTTGGGTAAACAAAGAAAAAGTAAAATTATTTTGACAGGCATACAGAATTCTTCTAAGTAGAACCAAGTTGCAATTAATCTGGAACCATATTTACCGAAGAAATCTGCAGACATATTTTGTTACATTGCAGTTCTCTTCATGCGAAGTATAAAAAAAAAGTGTGTGTGTGTGTACATATATATATACCTGGTGTAACAGCATATTTGTCCATCCCACAAAATGTTTAATATCTAAAAACCCACTAAACTAATTGAGTTTCCTTTTGCCAGATTTTCAGCTAATACGTTTAGCCATCTTGACACCATTTATTGTAAGAATCACTGAAAAACCCTTTGAGTTATTCAGCTAGAAAGAGAACAGGTTAAAATCATTTTGTGTCAGCCACAAAATATCTTCCCAATGGTAAGAGGAAAAAGATCATTCAAGCCTACAGTAATGGTACCAACATTCATACTCTTGCTTCTATCTTCAAAGTGCATTGAAGAATCATCAAGAGAATGGTGAATAAGTTTTAAAAAAGTAGGAACAGCAGAAAAGAAAATTGGATCAGAAGTTCACAACAGGAAGAGGGATCATCATTTCAACTTAGAGCTAAAGAGATCAGTTAGAAAAGATCCAACTCAATTCATAAGACATTTGACACATGAGAAAGGAGTTTCAGCTATGACAGTTCAAAGAGCTGTGAAAAAAATGAAATCTTACGTGATCCCTGTGTGGCATGTTGTTACTCCAGGCCAGAAAGTTAGAAGGTTAGAGAGGGTAAAGATCATCTTGAATAACTTAGAAAATGATCCTGGAATAATATATATATATTTGAACTTTATTTCAATACTTCATGCTATGATTAATTAATTTTCGTTTATGATCGATTTCATCACGATTCTTTTGTTAAACTTGAAGAGTAATTATACATTCTTATTGCTCAAAGCAGAGTCCAATAGTGTTATAAAAATCTTGGAGAATTCCAGCAAGATATTCTTTAACCATTTCTAAAATACAACGGTTCAAAGCTTAATCTAACAATTGGATAATTTTGGTGTTACACCGGTATACATATATATATATATATATATATATATATATATATATATATATATATATATATCTTCTTCTTCTCTTTTCATGTATAATCTATTACAGGAATCTTGCACAACTCTTGTTACATGAATTGTTTTTGGCTAAGAACTTTGGTTGAAACCTTATAGAGATCTTGCTTATGGTATCTCTATCGAAGTTTGGAATCTGATTGCATGATACACTTATGGCTTTTGAATTCAAAGTTCTTCTTCTCCTAGACTGGTTGCCAAACATGACTAAAGTGTACAGTTTCCCCTGATATTTAGCCCATAGCTGTAGGGAGAATAGATGGATTTATACCTTTCTCCACTTGAGCCACTATCCATTACACCATCTGCATTTCCACAAGTACTATATATATATATATATATATATATATATAATCATTTCACTCCAAGCAGAGTAATAAAGTCACTAAGACACAAGGGGTTACTGAGTGAAAGTATCAAAAAAAAGAAAACCTGATTGCGGAGAGAGAACAATAAAAGAAGAGGTAGATAATGATTGCCATTGCATTTAAATCTTTGAAGATCAAAGTTGGCTGGAATGCAAGAAGGCAGAAGACAGCTACACAGGCAAGAAGTGTGAGAAAAGAAACTGTTAGCAAAGAACTTAAGCTTACATCTAGCCATTTCAACAGTAAAATAATGAGATTTACTTTCCAATCTAGAGACAAGAAATAAAAAATGAAGGACTTCTTCCCTGTCCTCTCGGGAGAATTTTTATTTTTACCACATGTGTTATATTCTCATAGATCTGGTTGTTTTGGGCTATGATTATGATTGGAAAGAAGTGTTTTTGTAGAAACTTTTCTTTGGGTATACAAAAAACATACATGCACATTCTTTCTTTACTATCATATATATATATATATATATATATATATATATATATATATATATATATATATCTGTTTCATTGAATAATATAGATATATTGCGTCTACTTATTTATATACTGATACTTCCCAATTGTCTAATCAGTTCATCCTTGAAGAATCCCATCTTAATATCAAGGATAAATTTTACAATAACTATAACAGAACAAGTTTGTGCATATTTCTAAAAATCACCATCAAAATGCAATGCTGCTTTTATTGCAGTTACAATAAGTTTTTCTTTGTAATTTACCATTGAAGATTATCTTAAAAAGATCAAAGGTACTTGGGTAAAAAAAAACTATGGCACCTTCCTTGATGAATTCCATCTTAAGATCAAGAAAGTGATTACAAAACTGGAAAAGATCTGTATAAAAATAAGTAGACACAATATAAGCCAAATAATTTCCTTATACTTTATTATTTACATATAAATGCACAAAAAGGTAGTATGATTGGCTAATTTTTTAAGGATTTCAAGATGGAACTCAGATTAATACCTGCAAAAAACAGAGAATAATGCAGATCTAACCATTTTTTTCAGATCTCATTCTCAGTTTCAAAAGGTAGAATGTTGTGGCTATTTCACCTTTATACATACATACATATATATATATATATATATATATATATATATATATGTAAAAGTGAACATCGAAGTCAACACACAGAAGGCGACAGACTGTTTCATGCTAAACACAATCGTCAGGCTACATGTCGAATGGGTTTAGCATGAAACAGTCTGTCACTTCTGAGTGTTGACTTCAGTGTTCACTTTTATATTTATACTAGCAGCATGGCCTGGCATTGCCCGTGCTTGATTCAAAAATTGTACGACTCATACAGTAATCGCTATCACTTGACTTAAAAGATTTTTGCCCTTCCTTGCCTTTAAAGGAGTGCCCCTGCCATGCTGATGTTGCTACATGCCTTACTTCTTGCCTATCTCACACTGCAAATTTTTTCTAAGCTCTATACTAAACATTAAATCTGTTATGAAAAAAGAACTACACAAAATGGACACAAAACGATCAGTTTTAAAAAAGGACTCATAACTGGAAAAACCAATTGAAAAAAGAATGTTAACAAGAAATACTTTTTCACACCCAACCCAGTTCTGCGGAATCAGAATCAACGTTGAGTTTAAGTAAGCAAATGAGCCAACTGGAGTAAAGTGCCATGCGGATCTAAATTTTTCCCACTTGTGATAACTGCAGCTATCGATTTTTTTGCATGCTAGCATGCTAGTTAACATTTGTTTCAGTCAGCTGTTGGCTCTCATGCTGGCCAATAGAATCTTCCTGCCTATTCGTGTCAGCCAGCTATAGGCTCTCACTCTGGCCAGTAGAAAATGGCTGCAAACTACATGAAACCTGCCGTAGAAGCATGAAAAAATCAATTATTTCCACTATCGATGGGTGTTAGGAAATGCAAAGTATTGGCCTTCCTGCTAATTTGGAGCATGTGCATGTAAATTTTGGTGCAAATCTGTCGAAAATTGCGACCGTGCATTTGTTACACACACACACACATCCTGCCTTTTATAGATAGAGATACGCTCTATCTCTGATATTGAGCACTTTATCCTATAAATATAGCATACCTAAAAAACTATATTTCTTCATATATACATACACACATACACATATATATATATATATATATATATATATATATATATATATATATATAGATATCTATATATATATATATATCTATATATATATAGATAGATATATATATTTATATATATATAGAGAGAGAGAACATTACTACAATTGTGAATTTAATTCTTACTGGAAGCTCTGGCCTTTGTCATACTAAGCTCAGTTTGCTTAACCTCTTAACTGATGCAAACATTCCTGTTGTCCGCAGTCTATGTATTTGATTCAGCTAGTTGCATATTTCTCACCAGTGTCAGTGCCTGCAGTTCAAACATAATTGAAAGGTTTTTAGATGCAAATTTTCAAGATAAATGTGCTCTCCTCTCCCATCATGAATAAAAGCTGTACACCATAATACTTCTCAGCTATTTCTTCTCATCTACGTTTGTGCCATACAAAGTTACCCTCTATTTGTGGTATCACACACACACACACACACACACACACACATATATATAATTAAAACATAGTAAACTACTTTGACTTGGAATGCTACTCTGACTGCTACTAGAACTGACTACTTCATATGTTGTCCTTTTATTTATACCTGATGTATAGGCATAGTAGTACCATATATACTTGAGTATAGTGCATGTTTTTATGATTGGTCTTTTATGCACTATACACACAGAGGTAATATTTTGGATAGGTTAAATATATATATATAAAATATATATATATATATATATATATATATATATATATATATATATATATATATATATACATATATATATACAATTAAAACGTAGTAAACTACTTTGACTTGAACTTTTAGTCTGGTTTCTTATATATATATATATATATATATATATATATATATATATATAATAAAAGGCCTACATCATCAGACCTACAAATTCAAAAGGCTTTTTGAATTTGTAGGTCTGATGAATTGATCGTATTTACGATTCCAATGGAATAAATTATGACCATGGAATATTAGTGTTTAAGCCTTTTTATTATATCCTTACTCTGTCCTGGACATTGAGTTCTACCTGGATTCTATCCTCTCGGAATTTTTTATTCAAAAAATATACATATATGTGTATGCACCTATGTATATATATATATATATTTTGCATATGTATGTGTATATTTGCCACTAATATTATCTATATATATATATATATATATATATATATATATATATGGTTTCTTATATATATATATATATATATATATACAATTAAAAGGTAGTAAACTACTTTGACTTGAACTTTTAGTCTGGTTTCTTTGAAAACAGTTTACATACAATTGGAAATAGATTTGACACAGGAAGATTTCATAATGACTCCTCTTACTACTTTGACTTGGACTGTTAATTGAACTCTTACTTAGATACTTGATACATTTTTTACCCAATACAACACCCAAGAGCCACTCAAGATAGAGGGTTACTATATATAGTTGTTGAAATGTGTACAAGGAGAAAGCAAGGAGTGCATATTATGAGAATATGTAGGATAGATAAACCTGAGACTTGAAGATTGTA